ATGATGTGAGGGGGAAGCTAATGTTCTGAAATGTATACCTTTAAAACTGTAAAATGCTAGTAATGTAAAATTCCAAAAATTCTATTATCCAGGTCTTTAATAGATACTTGACTCCAAATATTGAGAAAATACTCTCATCTTGTTATGTTTGGAAGTGTAAATCCGCTCCAGTCTTTACATACAGTAACAGTATCCTTTTTTTTCTTTTTTGGTCAACTGCAGTGATTAAATAATTGCAGTTCAAATTTATTTAGTTAGTGAAATAATAAGGTCATTATTGCTGACATGGTAAAAACAATTCAAATTGTCTCTTCTGTACAACAACTGAAAGTGTCCTTATTTCTGTTCTGTATTCGATTTATGGACACCTCTGAAACTTCTACAAGAAAGGTTATGAAATTCATGGTGGTAAAATTATGCACATTTTCTGTGACTAAAGATCTGCCCCAACTAATGTGTAGGCCCAAGGGAGTAGAGTAGTAGATACCTTGTTTTCCCTTTCTAGTGTAAGAACATCTGTTAAATCAGTCAAGAGTAAGAGGGATATCCAGATGTTGATCATCCTTTGGATACATGAGGTGCTATTAAGAAGGATAATCAGGAATTACTATGTAAATTTCCATTTTCAAACCCTCCAAGTACAGGGGTGTTAGCTCCCACAACCTGCCCTCTCATCACCATTGCTTTAGAGACAAAAAGATTGGTTTAAAAAATACATCCTGTGCAGAGCTGGTCACATTTTTTTGCATCAAAACTTATATTTGATGGAAAATGACTTTTCAGTTAAATGAAGCAATTTCAATTACTTTCAAATTATATTTCAATGAAACAAGTGAAAACTCAAACCTGAAAAACTTTTTGGTTTTGGCAACTAAAAGCCTCATTTTTTTGGATGAAAACAATTGGTTTTCAGACTTCTTCCATCTGAAAACATAAAAATTTTCAAATAAAAATTTGAATGAAAATTATTTTTGTTTAATTTCTGTTGATTTTTTTTAAATAATTTCCTACCAGCCCTAACTCTGTGTGCAGCAGAAGTGAGGATCACAGTTGTTATCAATAAATGTTTATGGGTGTTGAAATGTGAAGTTTTGCTTTAATCCACAACAATGTTGTGCAGAAGACCTACAATTGAATTATGTTTGATATGAATAACCTTTCTCTCTCATATATAGTAGTAGAGAGTGCGGGTGTGTAGTGTGGAGAGTTTAAAGGTTAAAGGACCTGATGAAGGACTTGAAATCTGTAGAGGATATTTTGATATTTTTGCTTGATCTTCAGTTGCTTCTGTCCTGGAGCAATTCTTGTGTCCTACTCCTAAGTGAGGCTTAGAGAACCCCAAGCTTAATACGATTCCTTTTCCTCAGGGTGTAGCAAAACTTGAGTGACCTGTGAAGGGTTACACACTTCCTGCATTGCATGGTACCCAGCTTCATGGTGACCCCCTGAGGGCTATGGTATATGGGAGAACTGGGGACAAGCCTGGGCCAGGATGGGAAAGGAGCAGAAGTGGGGCAGGTGGATACAGTGGGACTATAGGTTTACTTTCCTTACTTAATATTTTAAGGGTTTTTCGCCTTCCTCTGCAGCGTGGGGCACAGATCACTTGCTGGAGGATTCTCTGCACCATGAAGTCTTTAAACCATGATTTGAGGACTTCAGTAGCTCAGACATAGGTTAGGGGTTTGATACAGGAGTGGGTGGATGAGATTCTGTGGCCTGCATTGTGTAGGAGGTCAGACTAGACGATCATAATGGTCCATTCTGACCTTAGAGTCTATGATTCTATGATTATCTCCAACAACTCTCCTTCTACAAATCTTTCACTTTCTTGCCTTTGTGTTGCTGTGTAGAACACCAGTGTAGAGAAAGTGCACAAAATGAAGAAAATGGGAAGGAAAATACAGATCACCATCAACACCTGTTTTTTATTCACCCCATGCAACCAAATAGAATGCCTTAGGACAAAAGGAGATCATGCAGACGCATTTTCCTTTGTGCACCGCTTCATATAAAACAACGTTAATTGTACTTTATAATCAAAGCACAGAAACAGTATTTTTTTTCTTTGATCTAGATGCATAGCACACAATCTCTCTGGCAAGGAGGAGACATACGTTTATACAGTGACTGAGAGGCAAATGCTTGTTGTCAATTTTACTTTTTGTCAAATAAAAAATGGAGTCCAGGATCAACTGTTTATATGAGGACTGAAGTCACTGCAACTTGCAAGTGTAAGCCAGGGTCTGAATGAGCTCTCCCCTGCCATCTAATGAGGGAAGAGACTTCAGGAGCAGTGTGTACATTTGCATCGAGTGGTGTTGGAGCTGTGTCAGACCCAGGATATTAGACACAAGGGGGTGAGGTAATATCTTTTATTGGACCAACTTCTGTTGGTGAGAGAGACAAGTTTTCAAGCTACACAGAACTCTTCTTCAGGACTTGAAGTAGGCAGAGCTGCTTTGCCAAAGTGCTCAATTTTGGCTGCTTTGGGTTAAAATTCACTGTAGTATTGAGTGCAGGGGTAATTAAATGTTGTTATCCTTATTGTGTACGTAAAGAGCAGCAGAACTGTACTTAGCATGTTCTGATTGAAGGCTCACTAAAATTTACCTCACTTGCTAAATGGGGGGAGGGGTGCCAAATCCAAGTGAAAGTGAGGGGGATGGGAAGGGCTCTTTTTGATAAGTCCTAGACACCATTTGACCCTCCCCTCTCCAATGTTTAAATACAGAACTGATCAAACTCAGTTGAGCGTTCTCGGTTCTGTTCACTGATTCCTAGAGCTCAAACCACTGATGAGCAGGTCTAGGGGAGTGAGCCTTAGACCTGGCGTCAGGTGTGAGGACAGCATTGCAGTGAATGACAACGTAGAGGCTGCAATAGCAGTGAGGTTCCCCGCTACCCAGTGAAATCACTCAGAGCTGAGATCATTAAGAACTGGGCTAAGTGGTGGAACCTCAGATCATGGCATTACAGACGTGGCAGCAAGCAGTGACAGATATAACAGTGGGAGCAGCGGCAACCAGCAGCAGACATAGCAGAGGCAGCAGTAAGTGGCCAACAATGGCAGAGGAACAGCGAGCAGCAGGAGAATGGCAGTGGGAGAGTAGAGGCAGTGCTCAATGTTCCTCCCCTCCCCCTTTCAGGGTGGGAGGTGATCCCATGTGAATGCACCCTTGAGTTCCAGGACTTGGCTGACCTCAGACAACAGAGTGGGGTGCAGTGGAAGGAAAGGGGAGTGGCATGTTAGATGGACATTCGTCCATCAGACTTTCACACTGCAAGATGGGAAACGGAAGCAAATGCCACTGCCCTATATACTGTGGAGAGGGTGTTTGTTAGGGTTACCATATTTAAAAAATAAAAAAAGAGGACACTCCACGGGCCCTAGCCCCGCCCCTTTCCCACCCCGCCCCCGCCCCAACTCCACCCTTTACCCGCCCCTTCCCCAAAGTCCCCGCCCTAACTCCCCCTCCTCCCTCCCAGCCACGCGAAAAGGGCTGCCCGAGCGCTACCGGCTTCAC